AMMAAAWKRWTTTTWWTKRAWKRAWWRGRWTTWMMARRAAATGTACTTTTTTTTGTCTGCAGTGTTTATTGCACTGAAAAGAATCCATAAATAACATTTCAGGACAATTCATGAACCAGATGGAAATACTGGAGAGGGTAAGTGGACAATTAAAAATTTTCCCCAAGTGAGGAGCTTTAATACAAGACAAAAGCTCGTTAAAAAAGAACAGTAATTGCTGTTACATCCCTGATTTTCCCCGTGGGGTGGCACAGTGACAATGCCATTGCCTTCCCACCAGAGTGGGTCAGATTTTTGTGAAATGCAGTTCAGCCAGGATTTAAAAAACTCTGCTTAGAGATCTTGGTCATTAGGAAGGTCCCAAGTGTTCCCCCTCTGAGTGAAAACAAGTAGTAAAATCTGAAGTAAAAAATAAGGCAACTCAGGCTCGGATCTGATGGGAGAAATCAGCTCCTGGTGCTCCTGAACAGGAACAGGGTTGGTGTTCTGTACATTAAAGCTGTAAACAAAGAGCAGAGCTCTCTCAGGAGAGGGATCCCAAATCCTGAGGGAAACACACCCTGAACTAGTCATTTGGATTTGGACAAGGTTTGGAAGCCGGAACATTTCACACACAGTTGCATCTATTGCCCTTAAAAAATATATGAGTCAGCTTTTAATACTGCAGCTGACTGGGAGGAAAGAGACTGGGATCAGGGCTCTGATCAGACTCCACGCTGGTTTTCAGGATAACAAACTACTCCTTTGCATGGAGAGAAGGGGAAGGAAGAAAAACAAAAAAAAAAAAGGATTACCAAACAATCTCCATTTTTATAAACAACACATAATACATGTAGAAAAATACTCAAGAGGATAATAACAAAGGTGCAACGTCAACAAAAATAAGCTGCCTTTTCAACAAAAGCACTTTTTTTTTTTCTTTTCTTTTCAGAGTTTTGAGTGTGGAGTGGGGAAAAAAAAAAACAAAAAAAACAACCACCAACCGAACAACCCCTTTTTTTTTTTAAAGCTGTTGAGTGTCCTTACAGAGAGAGAGTCCATGGGGGGGTCAATCAATAGTTCTTGCCGTGCTGGGCGTACCACTGCTGGCGCTGCTGGCGGTGCTCCAGCTCGGTGAGCAGCGCCTGCCGGAACGCCTCGTACAGCTTCACGATCCGCTCCAGCTCCTTCATGAACAGCAGCTTCAGCATCCCCTGGTACGTGTCCAGGTCTGCCAGCTGGAACAGCTCCCACTTCAGGATGTGGTCATACCTGAGGGGGAAGGAAAAAGGGTTTAGATGGGGTGTATCGGCGGGTTTGGGGGTTTTTTGGGGGCTGAAGGCAAAAACGGAGTTGGGTTGGAAACCGAGTCAGAACAATCCCGGCACGATCCCTCAAATCACACCAGGACTCCAGAAATACTGGAGAGCCCGTGAACTGAAAAGAATAAAACAACTGAGAAAAATACAGAGGGTGAGAGAGCTGGGGGTGTTCACCTGGAGAAGAGAAGGCTCCAGGGAGAGCTGAGAGCCCCTTCCAGGGCCTAAAGGGGCTCCAGGAGAGCTGGAGAGGGACTGGGGACAAGGGATGGAGGGACAGGACACAGGGAATAGCTTCCCATTGACAGAGGACAGGGACAGATGAGATATTGGGAAGGAAATGTTGGCTGTGACGGTGGTGAGGCCCTGGCACAGGTTGCCCAGAGAAGCTGTGGCTGCCCCTGGATCCCTGAAGTGTCCAAGGCCAGGCTGGGTGGGGCTTGGAGCAACCTGGGCTGGTGGGAGGTGTCCCTGCCCATGGCAGGGGGTGGCACTGGGTGATCTTTAATGTCCCTTCCAACCCAAACCATTCTGTTATTCCATGATCCCATGATTTAAAATTCTTAAAAGTGAAAGAAAAGTAGCATTTTTTTAAAAAGGAGCAAGACAGGCAGGAGGAAGTTACACCCTGAAGATGTTTCACATATTTTCTAAGCACGTGGTGCCGCTCTCACAAAGATAAACTGAAAGCAAATCCCACCCTCCACCCTCTGAGCTGCAAGAAGTGCTGTGATGATTTCAAGTAAGACCTGAAACAAAGCAAATGTGAGAAACTTTCTGTGAGCAACAAAATCAGACATAAGCACGAGTTCTTACTTTACATGGAAATTCTTTAGTTTCT